CATGGGGTATGGTGCGTGGCATGGGTTATGGTACGTGGCATGGGTTATGGTGCGTGGCATGGGGTATGGTGCGTGGCATGGGGTATGGTGCGTGGCATGGGGTATGGCGCGTGGCATGGGTTATGGTGCGTGGCATGGGGTATGGTGCGTGGCATGGGGTATGGAGCGTGGCATGGGGTATGGTGCGTGGCATGGGGTATGGTGCGTGGCATGGGGTATGGTGCACGACATGACGTCACCCCTCTCACCTGCGGCATGGCGTCCGGCCGCGATTCAAAGATCACCAGCAGCACCCCCAGCGGCCACCGCTGCTTCTCCAGCACCAAGCCCTCCGCCACCTGGTCAGAAAGAAAGGGACAAAAGCGAAACGGGTGGCAGATTTGTGGGAAGGTGGTGAAGTTGACTTTAGTAAACTCAAAAGTCACTCCCAGCGGCTATCGCTGCTTCTCCAGCACCAAGCCCTCCGCCACCTGGTCAGAAGCAAAGGGAGATTCGTGAGAAGGGTGGCGGATGTGTGGGACGGGTGACAGATGTGTGGGAAGGGTGACAGATGTGTGGGAAGGGTGACAGATGTGTGGGAAGGGTGACAGATGTGTGGGAAGGGTGACAGAGCTGTGAGAAGCGAGGGGAGGTTGGCAACTGAAGGGAAGGGAAGCAGCTGAAGGCAAGGGTGTTCGTGATGAGTTTGGCAAATTTGTGGGGATGGTCTGAGAGTTTCTGTGGACTTTCATTGTCTCCTTTCCAATCTATTACCTGCGTGCATGTAACGTTTTTTGCAATAGATGGTCACCTCAGAGCTTAGGGTGGTTCGTGCACTTACCAATATTCCTCATTTCTGCCTGCATGCGTCACATGATTTACCTACCCTGTGACCCGTCCTGTAACCGTTCCCGCAAACCCCATCCTTCCCTCCCTCCCCTCACCCTCCCGCCTACACACCTCTGTGCATGCCAGCGTCTCTGCTATCGGGTCAGGCATCTCCGCAATGGCACGAATGCCCTCCGCCAGCTGATTTATCTGCAGTGGTTGGGGGACGGAGGGCGAGGGGATAGCGGGAGTGAGGAAGGGGAAGAGAGCGGGTGGGAACGAGAAATGCAGGAAAACTTATGAGTTGAAGCGATTGCTTGAACGCCCTCCGCCAGCTGATAAACGTCAGGGAATAAGGGAACGATGGCAGTTGGGGAAGGTGGGGAGGGAGTGAATAGTGGAGAGAGTCAGGGAGTGTGGGAGGGGAGGGATGGGAAAAGGGGGGAAGGTTGGGGGATGTGGTTTGGGGAAGAAGAATGCAGTGAAGAGTCATTGATATAAGAAATGACTCGAAGGCCTTTCGCCGACTGCTGAGGTGTAACGTAGCGGAAAGAGGAGGGAGGAGGGGAAACTAAAGGAGGGATGGTAAATTGGGGGAAGGGGAATATAGCTGGGAGAGAGGGAAAATTGGAAGAGGGGGAAAAGTTGGAGGGAGGAATGGAGGGCCAGAAAAGGACGTTCGGCAAGTGTTTTTTGAGAAACTGTTTTTTAATGGGAGGGGAAAAAGGGGGATACAAGGCGGGCAGCTCCATCACCCAGCCACACTCGACGTACTACGAGAACATGCACCAGATGGGCGGGATGTGAGCTTCGAGTTGTGAATGTACCTCTGCGCTAGTCATTCTCGATACAAGAAAACCCAGATTTGTATTAGCTCTTTGCGTTCGTTTTTGCTGACTACATTCTCGTATAAGTTCTACTCGGCGACAGAATCCAAACCGAAGCTTTACCTTCAATAAATAACCAACATCTTCCACCCTGATGCTCCGCCACTCCCTGCTATTCCCACTCTACTACACTTCGCGATGTTAATGCCTTTATATTTGAATTTCACGTACCCGGCCAGGTTTGAGTTTCAGCCGTTGGATGAGAGCAGGGGAAACGCGATGGATCTCAGCGAGCCGCACATCGTGGTTGTTCTGCTCGATGATCTCCTCCTCCCGTTTCACCAGAGCGTCAGCCACGTTCAGCAAGATCTCCTTCCTCTTCTCCTGCGACATAGCCTGCATCGCGGATAATTCCATGGCACCGGGGGCATTGTAACAGCAAGACATGATTTAGCGTTCTTGCACACTGCAGACGACTTCCCGGCCAGGGAGCATTTCGCCTATATATACTCTGGAGACCAACCTAGTTGGATCCTGCCTGTGCACTGATCGTACCATCGATCAGATGGCATCAAATCTACCATAGCCATACCGCAATCGAACCTTAGAACGAAAGAACGACTTCCCTTTCACCACACCTACCATACCAAAACCGGGAAAACGAATCGCAGCGAAGGCTCCTCTTCCGACAGCATACCTGCAGCTTCCTGCTGGCGTCGCGCGCAGCCACAGCCATGTCGCGAGCAGCGCTTTTCCCCGCCTTGCCGACAGCCCACAGATGCGCGTCCTTGTGGAACAGCGTGCCCACCATCTCGCCCCGCAGCACGCGCAGCACGCCGTCATTCGTCAGCCCGCTCGCGATCACCGTCGTCACTCCCCCCATCGCCGCTTTCAACGCCGCGTCCACCTTCGCGGTCATCCCGCCTCGTCCCACGCGCGATTTCTCGCCGAATTTGATCTCATCTTGAGAGTCTTTCACGTATGTGTTGATGAGCACTGAGTCGGGGTCGGACGGAGGTCCAGTGTAGAGACCGTCGATGTCAGAGAGGAGAATCAAAGCGTCGGCTTCGAGTTCGAGCGATAGGAGCGCCGCAAGAGAGTCGTTATCCCAGAAGATTCCCGATGCATCCTTGTACGGCACGTGTCGCGTGGAGATTGCATCGTTCTCGTTAAATATGGGGACTACGCGATGGTCCAGGAGCGAATTCACGGTGCTGCGAAGCTGGTCGCGAAATTCCAGGTCCGCGAACTCCCGCTCGGTTACCAGCAGCTGAGCGCAGCCGACGTCAACCTGATGGAACAGCGATTCGTACAGTGACGTCAGCTCGCCCTGGCCAATGGCCGCGCAGGGCTTGCCTTCGAGCTCCGCCTGCGGCTTCTGAAGGTCCTTGAAGCTCGTCCGCATGAAGCCCTGGAAGCGAAGCTTCTGCCTGCCCACGCCGACGGACCCGCTGGTGACGATAATCACCTGGCGACCCTCGGATACAAGAGCCTCAACCTGTAAGAGTAAAAAATAAGGAAGTAAATTGAGAATTTACGGGTCAAATGATGAATTGCTGACGCCTTCCCAGGAGAAAAGACATGAAGAAGGACCCGCTGGTGACAACGATGACCTTGCGGCACTCGGACAGGCGAGCCTGAAGCTCCGGAAAAGGATTGTTATTATTATTCCTATCCATGTTTAAAAAAGGAGTCATGAAGAAACGGTTTGAGCGTCCACTGGCAAAATTGCTGGCAATGGCGGAGGCAACCAGAGAAATTGCTAGTGTTTTACCAATCTCCAGACAAATGCGGTGTTTTTTGGGTGATTCGTACGCACCTCCTCGCAGAGACACCCGAGCCGGCCAACTGCAAGATGGCCATCCGGACGGGTGACAACGGCCGTGCCAAGCTGAGAGTCAAGGAGGAAGCAACAGAAGAGAGACAGAAAATGCGGAGCAACAGTGGTCTGTGAAGAAACGAGACATGCAAAATTGTCTGTCATGCACATTGACAGTAGAATGAAGGCACGGTTAAGAAAATGTGTAGTAGCGGTAAGTGACGAATGGTCACCTTGATGACAACGCGTCGAGCATTCTTAAGCGCGTGCCGAGCAGCCGCTTCACCAGGAGAAGACATGATAATTCACAATGTAGAAATTGTTAAATTTCGGTTTTGCGAGTTTTCCCGCAGCGTTGAACTGCAAAGAAAGCTTAGAGCCTGACGGCAAAAGCCTTGGACAGTTAACTCTAAGCTAGCCACAGAACGACTGCCGAGTAAGGCTAATGGAGTGACACTGTCTAGGATGAGGCAAACAGGCAGCATATAACAGGGAATGCAGAGGCAGAGCACAGATATTTGGATGGATGGGACTGGGGTGGGGATGAGTGTGGCGGGTGGTGGGATGTTCTGGGCCTGTATGGTATGGCCTGCGGCCTGGCCGATGTGTGAGCGTCTGGTTCTCCAACGGTCTTTTTGAGATACTCCTAGGGATCTCCCCGGCTCTTGGGATTGCAGGGTGAACAAGTCCCGCACAATGGGGGCACTAGTGTGCTTCTGGGTGGTTGGTTGGTTGGTTGACGGTGGGTGGCTTCTGGAAGGAACCTTGCGGTGCTGTAGGTTGTGAAATGGTCATAGACGACTCTGTAGGTTTTAGTGTGCTTCTTGCGGATGCGACAGGCTTGACTGGCTGGGTGGATATTCCATGTTTGCCAGCGCACCGTTGACGGCCTGGCATCTGCGACTTTCCAGGTGCTTGAAAAACAATGTTTGTACATGTGTGCCAATTAGAATTCTCGTTATCCAAGTTGACGTTCCACGTAGGATCCAGCTTCGAATATTGACGTCAGCGTGGTCGTCTGATTTCCCGCCTTCAGAAATGGGAGCTCGCCTGTACAGAATGCTTCGACATAAAATACAGTTCTTTCCGAATTATATGTACACACATTTCTATGTGGTGCATGTCGCCGAGCAATGGAAGGTGGTGGTGTTGATTGGTTGAACGACATCCTCCAATCAGGTGAGGCACCCGATTATTGATTGACGAATCAGAGCGGCTTGAGTGAGGCAAAAGAAGCCTTCATCAGCGTGTGCGGTTCACATTCTTCCTGTCTGAGCTTTCGGCTGCCAAAAGGGCATAGTCGCCTCCAAAGTCGCTCCCGTTTTGCAGGAAACCTTGGGGTTCGGCGATTTTAGTGGGGCCGATCACCACCATTTTCACCTTTCTTCCATCCTGATATGGAGCCTTAAAATTTTTGCTTGGCCCGAGCGTTTTGCAGGGCTAGAGCGTTTCGCTTGTGCTAGTTGTCTCAAAGCTGTGATCATCCTCTCTGATCCTCTAGGCTAGTGTTTTACGAACGAGCCTCTCAGTTATTCACGCTCAGAGGGATGTCGTCGCCAGGCGAGGCTGCTGCGCGCCTGGCGCTGAAAGGCGCTCGTCGGATCGTGATCAAGGTACGGCATGCGCTAGGGTAGTAAACTTCAGGATCCATGGCTCGTTGTGAACGTATTATCTCAGCCGTCATCACTTAGGCAACAATGTAAGTTCCTAGCTTAATCTTGAGGTCTGTTTTCTTAGCGTTTTCCTGCATTTTGGTTTCTCGACATTTTTTCTGATTATCCTCCGATTATTCTTCCATAGCATCTAGCGTGCGTTCATGCCCCACTGTCAATTTTGTCTCAGGTGGGAACGGCTGTTGTGACGCGTTCAGATGGACGGCTCGCCCTCGGGCGAATGGGGTCGCTCTGCGAAGCGGTGAGCCATGCGATAAGTTTTTCTCTCTAGTTCATTTTGAATGCAGCCCTGACTGTAGAGTAGGACTATAGCCTCATATTGCAGCCTCCGGTCCAGCAGTACTTGAACGAATGGGGACTTTCTGCGAAATGATGCGTCACACAGAAATTAATTTGTGTCGTGTCTGTTTAGGAAAGGAAATAGAGAGAGAAAAGGAAATAGGGAAGCAAAGCAAACGAACAACAACCAGAAACAGGGCATTGTTGTTTTACAACCTCTTCACTTTTCAAGCTCTTTTTTTTTCTCTCTCTCTGTGACCCTCACTTGCTGTTTTCTTACAATCAGATAGAGACGCTCGTATCGGACGGCAGGGAGGTGATTCTGGTGACAAGTGGCGCGATCGGAGTGGGCCGGCACAAGCTGCGCTTCCAGCGGTTCATGCGCACGAGCTTCAAGGACCTGCAGCGCCCGCAGGGGGACGACATTGACGGCAAGCCGTGCGCGGGCATCGGGCAGGGCCAGCTCATGGCGCTCTACGAGTCCTTGTTTAACCAAGTGGACGTTGGGTGTGCCCAGGTAGGCTCTCTGGATCTCTCAGGCAGGAATGAAGGGTAGATGTGGGGGCTGTGGACCGGAGGGATGGGGTGCAAAGAGCGGTTCATGCGCACGAGCTTCAAGGACCTGCAGCGCCCGCAGGGGGACGACATTGACGGCAAGCCTTGCGCGGGCATCGGGCAGGGCCAGCTTATGGCTCTTTATGAGTCGCTCTTCAACCAAGTAGACGTTGGGTGCGCTCAGGTATGGTCTATTGAAGGAGGTTGTGAGGGGATTCAAGGTCTGCAGGGGTGGACGGGTAGGTAGGTCTGTGCTTGGTGCGAGGTGGGGAGAAAGGTTAGGAGAATTGGGTTTTGGAAGCGTTTCATGGTCACTGGGAGGGTTCCCACCGTGCATCCCTTCCCCACCCACCCCACACGCTCAACAGCTGTTGGTCACCGAGCAAGCGTGACTTGGCATTTTTGGAGTTCCGCAACCAGCTGCACACACCGCAGTTTCACCGCCTCTGTCCCATCTCGTCGCTCCCACCCACCCTGTGCCTCTGGCTCCTCAAGGCTCAAACTACCCTCCTCACTTCCCCCCATCCCACCCCAACAGTTGCTGGTCACAGAGCATGACTTCACGAATTTGCAGTTCCGCAACCAGCTGTGCAGCACCGTCTCGTCCCTGCTGGACCATGCGTCTAGTGCCTCAAGGCTCACTTCCACCACCCCCCTCACCTCCCTACCCCACCTTACAGTTGCTGGTGACAGAGCGTGATTTCACGGACCTGCAGTTCCGCAACCAACTGCGCAGCACCGTCTCCTCCCTGCTGGACCACCGCGTGGTACCGGTGTTCAACGAGAACGATGCCATTTCCACCCGCGTTGCTCCCTACAAGGACGCCACTGGTGAGCTGGCTGGTTGTCTGGTCGGGTGAGGGAGAGCTATGCATGCACGCCCATTGCCCACCCATGCACAGCTTCATCAGCACCAGTGTCCTCCCTTCCTCCTGGTCCACCGTGTGGTGCGGGTGTTTAACAAGAGCGACGAGAATTCGACCTGCGTGACACCCTACAAGGACGCCACTGGTGAGCTGTGACCCGCTTGCTAGTGGAAGCACAGCCTCGGAAACACAGTATCTTGCCTGCTGGACCACCGTGTGGTGCCGGTTTTCAATGAGAACGACGCCATTTCGACCCGTGTTGCACTGTTCAAGGATGCGAAAGGTGAGCGGAGTGGTGTGTGAGTGAGAGCGGTCTGCAGAGCTGTATGCATAACACCGTGTGGTGCCGGCGTTCAACGTGAACAAAGCCATTTTAAACCGCATAACACCGTTCAAGGATGGGACAGGTCAGCTGGCTGGTTGTGTGAGGGGGACCGGCATGTATGCCCACCCACAGTCAGTAGAGTCAGCCTCGTCAAAGCAGTCAGTGTCCTCCCTGCTGGACCACCGCGTGGTGCCGGTGTTTAATGAGAACGACGCCATCTCGACTTGCAGGGCGCCATACAGAGATGCGGCTGGTGAGGTCTTAGTGATCTGCTTGCAGGTGGGGGTGGAAGGGCGGTTGTTAGTGCAATGCTGCCGCATGTTGATGTAAGGGAGTGATGTACGTCTAGAGACTCCTCCCTGCTGCTTGATTGGTGACCCTTTTGAGACGTCTCAAAATGTTACCTTTATCACAAGTTAGTGCAATGCTGCCACATGTTGATGTAAGGGAGTGATGTACGTCTAGAGACTCCTCCCTGCTGCTTGATTGGTGACCCTTTTGAGACGTCTCAAAATGAGACGTCTCAAAGTGTTACTTTTATCACGTGTTAGTGAAATGCTGCCGCATGTTGATGTAAGGGAGTGATGTACGTCTAGAGACTCCTCCCTGCTGCTTGATTGGTGACCCTTCTCTTCCCTCTTCTCTCGCAGGTATCTTTTGGGACAACGACTCCCTTGCAGCTCTCCTATCCCTGGAGCTCCAGGCAGACGCGCTGGTGCTGCTGTCGGGCATCGAGGGGCTCTACACCAAGCCGCCCCACTCAACCCCTTAACCCCACCCCTCCGCACCCCTCCCCACCCCTCCCTGCTCCCCCACTCGCAGGTATCTTTTGGGACAACGACTCCCTGGCGGCGCTCCTATCCTTAGAGCTCCAGGCAGACGCGTGTGTGCTGCAGTCAGACATCGAGGGGCTCTACACCAAGCCCACTTTCCTCTCCCCCTCCCACCCCTCCCCTTCCTCCTCCCCCACCCTTCCCTTGTGCTCTCGCTGGCAGGTATTTTCTGGGACAACGACTCTCTCGCAGCTCTCCTATCCCTCGAGCTCCTGGCAGATGCGTGTGTGCTGCTGTCAGACATTGAGGGGCTCTACACCAAGCCCCCCTGGGACCCTGACTCGGAGCTCATCCACACCTACGTGCCGAGCGTGCATGGGGACTCAATCAAGTGGGTACACAGGGTGAAGATGGTTGAGGGTTTAGGGGTTAAGTGTTCGGTTTCAGGGCTTGAGGATGCAAGAAGAATCCCACCAAGCCGCCCTGGGACCCTGACTCCGAGCTCATTCACACCTACGTGCCGAGCGTGCATGGAGACTCCATCAAGTGGTTATACCGTGCTGGGAGGGTTTGGGGCTGGATACAAGGTTAGGTTTGGGGCTGGATACAGGGTTTGGAGTTGAAGTTATCGAGACACTTGCAAGTAAACGCCTAGATAGCCATCCTGGGACCCTGACTCTGAGCTCATTCACACCTACGTGCCGAGCGTGCATGGGGAGTCCATCAAGTGAGTTCAGTGGGTTAGCAGGGGAAAAGGCCTCAGTGGGTTTGGGGTTTAGGTGGAGTTAAGGGGTAGGGTCTGTCTGGGATGCAAGCAGACACTAGCTGGCCGCTCTGGGACCCTGACTCGGAGCTCATTCACACCTACGTGCCGAGCGTGCACAGAGATTCCATTAGTGGGTATACAAGCTAGGGTTCAGGGTCTAAAGGTAAGCTTCACATGTGGGTTTTGTGGCTTGGTTTAAAGGGAGACAGTGTCTGGCCGCCCTGAGACCCTGACTCGGAGCTCATTCACACCTACGAGCCGAGCGTGCATGGGGACTCTATCAAGTACCTGGTGTACCGGGTATACAAGGATGGAGGATCTAGGGTTTCGGGTTCAAGAAGTGTGGGGGTTTGCGGTTTGGGATGCAAGCAGACGCGTTGCTTGCTAGCGCCCTGGGAACCTAACTCGGAGCTCTTTCGCAGCTATGTGAAGAGCGTGCATGGGGTGGGGACTCCATCAGGTGGGCTTACAGAGAAAGAGGCCCAATCAGTTCTTCGTTCGCAGCTAGCAACCGTGTCTGCTCACTCACACACCCATCTCTCTATCGTGCCCTCTCCCAGGTCTGGCGAGAAGAGTCGGCTGGGAGGTGGTGGAATGACAGCGACAGCCAGCCAAGGCGGAGGCCGCAATCCACTCGGCAGGCAGCCGAGTCACGGAGTGTTTTTTGAGAATTAAAAAAAACCAGAGAACTAAAAAAAACCAGCTCGAGAAGAGTCGGCTGGGACGTGGGCATGCCCACACAGTCATTGCGAGTGGGCTGGTTTACATTACAGACAGCCTCTGTCCCTCCCCACCGTACAAAACTGCCAGGTTTGGCCAGAAGAGTCGGCTGGGGCGCGGCGGAATGACAGCCAAAGTCGAAGCAGCAATCCACGCGTCCGGAGGCGGAGTGCCCACAGTCATTGCGAGTGGGTTATCAAGCGACGCGGTGCTGCGAGTGCTGGCAGGGGAGATGGTTGGAACGCTCTTCCACAAGGACGCTCACCTGTGGGCCGTTTCCAAGAGCGTGAAGAGCGCTGGGAGAGACATGGCCATTGCTGCCAGGGATGCCAGCCGGAAGCTGCAGGTGAGGAGAACTGCAGTCTAGGAGGGTGTGGGTGGGGTGCAGTGTTTGGACGCGGTGCTGCGAGTGCTGGCAGGGGAGATGGTGGGCACGCTCTTTCACAAGGACGCTCACCTGTGGGCTGTCGTTAAGAGCGTGAAGAGCGCTGGGAGAGACATGGCCGCTGCTGCCAGGGACGCCAGCCGGAAGCTGCAGGTGAGGAGGGTGTGGTGGGTGGGGTTGAGGGCTTGGCATTCGAGCGACGCGCTGCTTCGAGTGCTGGCGGGGGAGATGGTCGGCACACTCTTCCATAAGGTCGCTCACTTATGGGCCGTTACCAAGAGTGTGAAGAGTGCTGGAAGGGATATGACCGTTGCTGCCAGGGATGCTAGTCGAAAGCTGCAGGTGAGAAGGGGTGGTTGGTTCCTGGTCAAGGTTTAGGGTTTGGTGATGAGTCGCAGGGCCGGCCGAGACTCACTGCCCTTCCACAAGGACGCCTATTTGTGGGTCGTGTCTAAGAGCGCGAAGAGCGTTGGGAGAGGCATGGCTGTTGTTGCTGCCAGAGATGCCAGCCGGAAGCTGCAGGTGAGGAGAATGGTGTGGTGTGGGTGGGGAACAGGGCTTAGCGGGACAACAGAGCAGTGCTAGCAGGAGAGAGATCATTCTGTGAAGCAGAAGAGGGAGCAGCATCTTGTGATATCCATCCCCAGCCCTAGCCCCACACCCACGCCCACCCCCACGCCCACGCCCACGCCCGCCCCCACGCCCACGCCCGCCCCCACTTCCGCCCACAATCAGGCACTGAGCACGGAGCAGCGCAAGCAGGTGCTGTTGGACGTGGCAGATGCGCTGGTGAAACGAGAGGCTGGCTTCCCAACCCCGTTCCCTGCTACCCTCCCCAGGCTCTGAGCACGGAGCAGCGCAAGCAGGTGTTGCTGGACGTGGCAGATGCGCTGGTGAAGCGAGAGGCTGAGATCGGCCTTTTCCGCATTCCGCTTAGCAATCTTGGCAACCTCCTTTCCCCACTGTGACCCCATCCACAGGCTTTGACTACAGAGCAGCGCAAGCAGGTTCTTTTGGACGTTGCAGACGCTCTGGTGAAACGAGAGGCTGAGATCGTCGAGCAGAACGCCCACGACGTACGGACGTCTGAGATCAACGGCGTCGCACCGGCGCTGCTGCAGCGACTGAAGCTGAAACCTAACCGGGTGAGTAGGGAGCGAGGAGTGAATGAGTGGGAGGAGGGAGGGAGAGTATGGGTGATTAAGAGTGAGTGACTGAGTGAAGGCGAATAGGGAGTGAGTGTGTGGCTGGTTGCATGTTGTTGAGCTTAGTGGGAATATACGCGTATAGCGTATATATGCGTATCGTATATACGCTAACGTATATACGCTAAACGCTTAAGGGTCGATTTGGTAATACGCTTTTTCGGGCAGGTAAAAAACTATCCCGGGCAGGGTGAAAAGAAACGTCGTGCTCAACACTGGGAAGGTGTTCCCTCTCCCTAAGACTTTCGTAGCAATTCCCTAAGTCTGAACGGCGATTGGGGTGGGATGTGGAGTAGACACTAGAAGAAGTTGGTAGGAATCGGAAGGAGCTCTGCTGTTAGGAAGCGGGAATGTCAGCTAGAAATGACGACTGGAATTTTGCTGGCTGGTAAGTAGCGTGAGTGGGGTTTGGTGGGGGGCGTTTTTAACAGGTTGGAGTTCGTAGATAAGATGGGTTTCAATGCGGTACTAATCTAATGTTCAATTTTGAACTGCCTGCAAACTTTGAAGGCACATTCCCACTTCCCTAGACCGTCGAATTGCATTTCGACTTCGGCGAAATGCTCAGCAGAAGATTCCGCATCTTTCCGTATACACATGATTTTTTTCCCGGGCAGCCCGAAAAACTTTCTGATAGCGTATAGCGTATTAGCTAGTGTATCGCGTTTTGCATACACACGCTAGCGTATATACGCTATACGATTTAGGGTTTGAGCGTACATTCCCACTAAGTTGTTGAGGGCCACATGCGAGGCGAATCACGGTGCCTGCCTGAGATCGTCGAGCAGAACGCCCACGACATATGGACGACTGAGATTTATGGTATTGCGCCGGCCCTGCTGCAGCGGCTGAAGCTGAAACCCAACCGGGCGGGTGAGTGAAGGGAAACCGAGTGAGTGAGAGAGTGAGTGAATGGGAAGAGAGGCAAAGCAGTGAAAAACGAACTTATCAGCTGGCTGTTCAGGACATTTGGCTCCCATATGTGAATCTTTCTTCTTCTCTCTCCTCTGCCTTCCCGCTCCCTCTTCGGGCCTCTCCTCTATGAATTGTCAGATTCAGCAGCTAGCGGAGGGCATTCGAGCCATTGCTGAGATGCCCAGCCCTCACTTCCGCCCCTCTCCTCCCCCGCGCCTCCGGCCGGGCCCCCCCGCGCCCTTTCTGTTCCTCCTACCGTCTTCCATTATTGCCGTGCAGATTCAGCAGCTGGCGGAGGGCATTCGGGCCATTGCGGAGATGCCTGATCCGATAGCAGAGACACTGGCTCGCACGGAGGTGGGTGGGTGGGTGTGAGGGTCCGGGGATGAGGGAGGGAGCAAGGAGGGGAGCAAGGAAGGGAGCAAGGGAGGGAGCAGTGGGGTTTGTGGGATGGGATAGCTGAGACTCTGGCTCGCACAGAGGTTGTCCGGTGGGGTGGGTGGGGGCATGATGGCGAGTGGATGTGGTGGGGTGGGCGCCCTCTGTTCCAGTCTGTTTCTCCTCTTCTGGGATCAAAACTCCTTTTGTCCATCGGTCAACTCTCCACTTGAAGCTGGAGAAAGGAAGCGAGCAGAGGGCCTCATCCCGCCTGCTTCAACTCTTGAGACGTCTCAAAAGTTTCAGGCTTTTCCGTTTCTTGGTCTAGGACACCACAAACCCCCAGCCAAGGTTCAAAATTACGGTTTTCGTAAAATACGGTCCGTTTTATACGGTCGTTATTTACGGTGATTTCTCAAAAAAACGGTCGTTTTTTTGTTAGAGAACTCTGTTCACCAAGAAAAAAAAGAGAAAAACAAGGCCAAAAACATTTTCAATCATGCCAACAAGCGCATACATGCAAGAAGGGGTCCGTCCCCTTCATGCTGCTGCATTTCGGGTTCAATTTGGTCCCACTAAGTGGCCGTTTTGTTAGTTAAACAGGAAACACCTCCTGGAACCGTTTTAAACCGTTTTTTACGACCGTATTTTACGATACCGTTTTTTACGGTAAATTTTCAAAAAACGGTCGTTTTTTTAAACCTTGCCCCCAGCCATCACAAGCCCTCTTCCTGCCTGCTTCAGCTCTTGTTCTACCCCTTGTGGTTTTCACAATCGGCCTCTCTCATCACCTCCATCCCCGGCTTCTGGCCTCTGGAACTCGTGCTATCTGCAGCTAGCAGAGGACCTCTTCCCATTTTTGTTAACTCTCTTTCTCCCGCTTCTGGGTTTCTCAGCCCCTCTCACTATCTTATCCCCCTCTTCTGGCCTTTGGAACTCGTGCTATCTGCAGCTGGCAGAGGGGTTGAACCTGGAGAAGCAGCGGTGGCCACTGGGAGTGCTGCTGGTGATCTTTGAAGCTCGCCCTGACGCCATGCCGCAAGTGAGCGTGCTTTTCCTCTCTTGCCTCTCACGCGTTCCGTGTGTTTTTTATTAAAAGCTCGCCGCTTCTCTCCACTTGAGTGCGATCCTGATTTTTTTCTCCTCCCTCTTCCTCCATCGCCTTCCCCCGTCTTTCCAACCTGCCACCATCCATGGCCTGGGCGACACAGATCGCAGCGCTGGCAATTCGCAGTGGCAACGGGCTGCTGCTCAAGGGAGGCAAGGAGGCACTCAACTCCAACCGCATCATTCATGAGGTGAGTCCGTGCACGTGATAACCAGACACGAGGGGTAACCATGTGCAAGATGCCAGTCGTAACCATCATCGTCCACACATGAAATTGCCTTCTCGTGTGTCACAACCACCACCATCACCATCACCATCACCTCATATCCAAAGTCGTGCGCATCATCCACAAAGTGAGTGCCGAGCGTGGGGTAACCAGGAGCAAGTGTTATCAGATGCGGGTGGTAACCAGATGCTAGTGGTAACCACCATGAGGTAACTATATGCGAGTGATTACCGATGCAAGCTCCATGAGCTAGCCAACATGGACTGACTAGTTGAGGGTGGTAACGCGCTCTAAAGCCACGTCCCTCCATCCCTCCCTCCCCCAGGTGATTGCATCCGCCCTGCCACCCGAAGTCGCCCCATCTCTGATCGCACTGGTGACCTCGCGCAACGACATCTCGGATCTGCTGAAGCCCCTCCCCCCCTCCCCACACTGTCCTCCCTTTCCCCAGGTGATTGCGTCTGCCCTGCCACCCAAAGTCGGCCCATCTATGATTGGCCTGGTGACCTCGCGCAACAACATCTCGGATCTGCTAAAGCTCCTTCCCTCCTGCCCCTCCTGCCCCTCCCACCACAGGTCATCGCATCAGCACTCCCCCCAGAAGTCGGCCCATCGCTGATTAACCTGGTGACTTCGCGCGACAACATCTCGGATCTGCTGAAGCCCCTTTCCCCCTGTCCCACCCCACCATGTCTCCGTCCCACTGCTAACAGGTCATCGCATCGGCGCTCCCAGCTGAAGTCGGCCCGTCGCTGATCGGGCTGGTGACCTCGCGAGACGACATCTCGGATCTGCTGAAGCTGGACGACGTGATCGACCTGGTCATTCCACTCTGTGCCTGCTCACTTCCCTGCTTGTTCCCTGCCCCCTCACACTATGCCCCAGGTGATTGCCTCCGCCCTGCCACCGGAGGTGGGCCCCTCACTTATTGGCCTCGTCACTTCACGCGACGACATCTCGGATCTGTTGAAGCTGGACGACGTGATCGACCTGGTGATTCCGCGCGGCAGCAACGCGCTGGTGAATCATATCAAATCGCACACCAAGATTGCGGTGCTGGGCCATGCGGACGGCGTGTGCCACGTGTACGTGGACAAGGCAGCCAACCTCAAGATGGCCAAACGCATCATATTGGATGCTAAGATGGACTACCCCGCTGCCTGCAATGCCATGGTGAGATGATGCTTGTAGTGCCATGGTGCGGTGTGGTGGGTGGGAAAGCACTGCCACAGAAGGTTGTGTGGTGGGCAGGTGCTGATTCTGGTGCACATGGCGGTGGGAGAGGTGAGGGACAGAGGGGAAGTGAGGGACAGAGGGGAAGTGAGGGACAGAGGGGAAGTGAGGGACAGAGGGGAGAGCCTGAGAGACGGCGTGTGCCACGTGTACGTGGACAAGGCAGCCAACCTCAAGATGGCCAAACGCATCATATTGGATGCTAAGATGGACTACCCCGCTGCCTGCAATGCCATGGTGAGATGATGCTTGTAGTGCCATGGTGCGGTGTGGTGGGTGGGAAAGCACTGCCACAGAAGGTTGTATGGTGGGCAGGTGCTGATTCTGGTGCACATGGCGGTGGGAGAGGTGAGGGACAGAGGGGAAGTGAGGGACAGAGGGGAAGTGAGGGACAGAGGGGAAGTGAGGGACAGAGGGGAGAGCCTGAGAGACGGCGTGTGCCACGTGTACGTGGACAAGGCAGCCAACCTCAAGATGGCCAAACGCATCATATTGGATGCTAAGATGGACTACCCCGCTGCCTGCAATGCCATGGTGAGATTGTGTGTGCATTACCATAGTCAGCAGATGCAGCACGGGTCGTGCTTTACGCCAAGATGGACTATCCTGCCGCGTGCAATGCCATGGTGAGATGATGCTTTGATCTGATGCCATGGTGAGGGAAGAGGCCATGCATGGTATAGCACGAGCACAAGAAGGTCATTTGGTGGAGGTAAGGCAGGTGCAACATGAATTGTGCGCGACCCCAAGCTGGACTGAGGGATGATGTTTGCAGCTCCGTGGTGAAAGTCTTCATTTTATGACATGTTTACGAGTAGTATACACAATGCCAAAAAAAAAAGGATGTATACATATATTTGTATACATCATTCTTTATGTTTGCATTTCTGAAATGTTAGTTGCAGTGTTGTGCCATTCGTGCTCCTTTATTTGCACTCTTTTATGATTCATCAGCCTGTGTTGTGCCTCATGCTTTACTCGTGCTGTACTCGTTATAGGAAACTCTGCTACTCAACGAGGAGCTGGTGAAGTCGGGAGCTGCAGCAGAGCTCATTCAAGAGCTCAAAGACAATGGTATGTGTAGCACTGAGTAAGTTTTGTGTCGTATCAACAATGTTATATTCCTTCACGGCGAGAAGGAAGCAGCTTCTGCCTTCAAAATTCCCCAAGGGCCCACCCTGCACCACGAGTATGGGTCCCTGGAATCAACGGTGGAGATCACTGTGTTTCTATGCGTCAGACTTCTCCCCCTCTTCCCCTCCACTCCTCTCCCCTTCCATCCCCCCACCTTTTCCCTCTGATGCAGGCACAGTCCTTCACGCTTGCAGCCTCCCTCAGGCGTCCACCTTTCACCACGAGTACGGGTCGCTGGAATGTACGGTGGAGATTGAGCATGGTGTTGGGAGGTCCCTGTATGTCAATGTGCCTTGTTCCCCTTTCAACCCACCCCCCCGCTCTCCCCACGCAGGCATAGTCCTTCATGCAGGCACGACCGCTGCCCCAGCCTTCTCCCTGCCTGCAGCCGCCAATCTGCACCACGAGTACGGGTCGCTGGAATGTACGTTGGAGATCGATGTGTGCTTCTGTGGATCCACCTTCTCACTCCACCGTATACCCTCCTCCTTTTCTCCATTCCCTTGCACTTCCCCTCCATCCCCACCGCAGGCATAGTTCTTTATGCAGGCGCGACTGCAGCCCCTGCCTTCTCCCTGCCTCCAGCAGCGAATCTGCACCACGAGTACGGGGCGCTGGAATGTACGGTGGAGATCGTACCGGACATTGACGCGGCCATCCACCACATCCACACGCACGGCAGCGCGCACACCGACGCCATTATTACGGAGGATGAGGAAGCCGCTAAGAAGTTTCTGGCGTCGGTGGACAGTGCGGTCGTGGTGCACAATGCCAGCACTCGCTTCTCTGACGGCTTCCGCTTCGGGCTCGGCGCCGAGGTGAGAGGCTGTTTTGGAAGAGAGAAGGAGTAGATACAGGGTTGCGTGACTGATAGCTTCCGCTTCGGCCTCGGCGCTGAGGTGAGGAGAGAGGGGGGAGATGGGCTCGGCTCTTACGAGTAAGAGGAAAGGTGGTTGCTTCGGGCTCGAGGCTAGAAGATGACAGAAATGGGGGGAGGGGAAATGCGCTCGAAATTGAGGTGGGCTGGAAGGTGGGAGGTGGCACCTGAGCATGCGGCATCCATCCTGATTCCTACATGGAGATGCTTGGTTGGTGGGAGCTATTTTTTCTCACACAGATGATTTTTTTCTCGTATCACGCTTCTCTATCCTTTGCAGGTGGGCATCAGCACGAGCCGCATACATGCGAGAGGGCCTGTCGGGGTGGAGGGTCTTCTCACAACGCGCTGGCTGCTGAGAGGTGCCGGGCAGGTGGTCAACAAGGACAAGGATATTGTCTACACCCATAAAGAGCTCCCGTTGAAAGAATGACTTAACAATTCATTAGGTTTTATGAGTACCTCAGCTTGTTCTAGGCGCCTCGACTAGATCTTGGATTGTTGGCTGCTGAGGTGTGCAAACAGGTGGTAGTCGTTATTTACACCAAAAAAAACCCTGCTTCTGAACAATAGCCGATCAGTGTACTGGTAACTAATCTGAGGGCCTGGGGAGCTCTGAGAAGTCATGAGATTTTTCTTTTTCTGATGCGCTTTTCGTTTACAGCGTCAAGCCGACTGTCGCAATAGCGAGGTCGCTCTTACAGTGTGTTGTGAGCTCGCTGCTGATGTATTTTGGCGATAATGCATGCACTCGACCTTCGTTTCACTCGTTCGTTTCAGACGAGGTTGCACGTCCATTCTTGGAGAGATCGACGGTTCGAAACGCCTTCGAGTCTGTCCATGCCGCGTACAAATCCAGAATTCACCATTTTTTAGTTCAGTGGGAGTGGCGCATGCACAGCTGAAACGGCTTTGTTGCACACGTGTAGCTACTTGTTGCTACTACTCTCGTGGGGAAGGATACGAGCCGTGTGATATCCTAGCACTACTAGCCATGGCTGCTTCCGTCGCCTCTTCCTCCGCCGCCATTTTGACGAATCAAGGGGCTCGGTTAATCGCACGCGGAATTTCTTCGTCGAAGTGCGTTCGTTTCCTTACTAAGCAGTTTCCGTATTCTCTCTCGTTACCTCGAGTTACGCGTTTATCGCACCGCGTTTATCGCGAAGCTTTCCCGCGTGCCTTTTTATCTGAATCGAGAGTTCGCATCGTGGCATGCCACGTGTCAATATTATATTTTTCGTCTTCCATCTACTGTGTTCCGTGCCTTCATTCGTGTCACCCTGCCATGTAGGACCTTATCCGGCGCCTCCCTGAGTGCCGATCGCGTGCCTCTGCCACGTGTCACAACGCGAGGGATTTACGGCAAGGCCAGGCTGGCAGTGATGGCTCAGGCTAAGATCGCAGCAGCAGCAGCGGCAGCGGCGGCCACGGAACCTCTGAGTGCGGGCTCGCCCCCTCCTGCTCTCTTTGACGGCACCACGCGGTGAGTTTTGGTAGGTCAACGCAAGTCAACGCCAGTCATGGCAAGGCCAGGCTGGCAGCTATGGTTCAGGCTATGGTTCCAGCAGCGGCATCGGCGGCCGCGGAGCCTCTGAGTGCGGGATTGCCCGCTCCTGCCCTCTTTGACGGCACCACCGGTGAGTCAACGCAGGTTAACGCAATCCAAGAGGGACGTGGCGGCCACGGAGCCTCTGAGTGCGGGATCGCCGCCGCCTGCCCTGTTTGACAGCACCACGCGGTGAGTCAACGCAAGTCAACGTTAGCCACCCCAATTCAATAGGGACGTGGCGGCCACGGAGCCGCTGAGTGCGGGATCGCCCGCTCCTGCTCTCTTTGACGGCACCACACCGTGAGCTTTGGTCAGTCAACGCAGGTCAACGCTATTCAACAGGAAACTTGGTTGCTACGGAGCCTGAGTGTGGAATCGCCCGCTCCTGCTCTCTTTGACAGCACCACGCGGTGAATTGGACAACAGTGAATGGGACATAGCCAACACATGTCGACGGTAGCCAACTCTCAGGTTCAAGCAACTATAGCCAATGGCCCATCAGTTCAGCGACCAATTACGAGAATCCTCCCTTATCCCCGTTTCCCTTGCCCCCCTCCAGCCTATACCACTACAAGGCTTGTCCCTTTGCTCAACGGGCAGTGATTGCCGTCAGCTACAAGGTGAGCTGCCTGAAAATGTTACTTATAGTAACTAAAGCTTCCAATTAATTACTATTATATTATTCTTTAAGAGCAATTTCATTACAGCATATAATCTTTCTACCAAAGTGTACTCCTCTCCACGTATCTCCTCATCCTAACAGGGTCTTGATTTTATCGAGCGAGTGGAGATCAGTCTTCGCAGCAAACCTGAATGGTAAGCACACACTGGATGAGTCTTCTTGGTATATCAGTCCCTTGCTGCTGCTGCTGCTGCTGCTGCTGCCGTTGCTGCTGGTTACCACATGGGTCCCACCATTACCCACAGGGTCTTGATTTCATCAAGCGAGTGGATAGTAGTCTTCGCAGCAAGCCTGAATGGTATGCCCTGCACACTGGATGAAAGTCTTGTTTCAAGTGTGTTGAAACGTGATTGCCGGCACTTACGGAACAGATTTTGAGTCGCGTCAAGAATGGTACGCACGCATTCTCATCACAATAGAAACGAAAGAATGGTACGCTCGCACTGGATGAGAGTTTCGTTTCTATTGTGTGGCAACGTGGTTGCTGGCATTTGAGAAACAGAGGCATGTGCGATTTTTCAAACATCTCCCTAGCAATCTAGCACGGAAGTTGGTGTAACAGGGGCTTGGATCGTCTATGGCTGCTGCTGATTCTTCTGGTCATATCACTTGAAATGATTCTGTGTCATCGGTAATAATACCACCACACCCCACCCACTCCCACAGGTACACGGACCGCCAGGCAAGGTGCCTGCCATGGAGCATGCCGGGAAGGTGGTGGGGGAGAGAGCTTAGACCTGCTGCTGCTGGTTACCACATAGGTCTCACTGGTTACCATGCCTATCCGCCCTGCCCCTTCCACCCACACCCCTCCCCCCCCCCCCCACCCACTCCCACAGGTACACGGAGAAGGTGTATCCGCCAGGCAAGGTGCCTGCCATGGAGCACGCCGGGCAGGTGGTGCAGCTGGTAACCACATGGGTTCCACAGGTAAACTCACACTTCCCCATACCCACGCACCCACCCGCCCACCCACAGGTACACGGAGAAGGTGTATCCGCCAGGCAAGGTGCCTGCCATGGAGCACGCCGGGCAGGTGGTGGGGGAGAGCTTAGACCTGCTGGTTGTGCTACTGGTGCTGCTAGTCTGAAAATCCCAGCCCCTCACCCACAACCACCCACCCACAGGTACACGGAGAAGGTGTATCCGCCAGGCAAGGTGCCTGCCATGGAGCACGCCGGGCAGGTGGTGGGGGAGAGCCTGGATCTGCTTCTGCTGATTGACGAGTGGTTCGGCGACAAGGGGCCGAGAATCGTACCCGAGGTGAGTAGTGGCGTTCGTATAACGCTCTGGGTGCTAGGGATGGGAAGGTTAGAAAATGTTTTGGACCTGCTGCTGCTGATTCACGAGTGGTTCGGCGATAAGGGGCCGAGAATTGTACCTGAGGTGAGATGAGACTAGTAGTGGCAATGGCAAGGCAACAAGTGCAGGTTGTGCGTTGCGAGGCAAGGGGGTCCAAAATGCGAGGTGGTGAGGGAGACCTTGGACCTGTTGTTGCTGATTGACGAGTGGTTCGGCGACAAGGGGCCGAGGATTGGACCCGAGGTTAGTACAAGTTCAGGTTATGTTTTGAAGAGAAGGGATTTGGACCTGCTGCTGCTGATTGACGAGTGGCTCTGCGACAAGGGGCATTCAAACGCATTGAATGCATGCAAGGACTTGCTTGAAAACAGAAGCATCAGCCCTTGCAGCAGCATTCGATGACTGGATACTCACACTCCAACTGCCTTGGCCACACTGAACCCTCTTGACACTGCCAACCCCACTGTCAACGCTGTTGTTTGGCTGCATGTGTGCAGGACCCTGCCATGGCAGCAGAGGCATCAGCCCTCGTGTGGGGACATGATGATGGCTGGATACTCTAGTCTGCTCTCTCCCACCTCGACCAGTGCTTCTCTTTATCTGCCAACCCAATGTGTGCAGGACCCCACACAAGCAGCAGAGGCATCAGCTCGTGTTGGGACATGATGATGGTCGGATACTCTACTCTGCTCTCTCCCACCTCGACCATTGCTTCTCTTGATCTGCCAACCCAATGTGTGCAGGAACCCACACAAGCAGCAGAGGCATCAGCCCTCGTGTGGGGACTTGATGATGGCTGGATACTCTACTCTGCTCTCTCCCACCTCCACACACCCCTTCCTCCCACTGTGCGTGTCTAGCCAGGACCCTGACATGGCAGCAGAAGCACCAACGCTTGTAGCAGCGTGCGGTGACCTGGTGATGGCTGGATACTTTGCTCTCTCCCACCCACCTCTATCACACCCCTCCCACTGCGTGTGTTCACTCTTCACCTGCCTGCCAACCGCAATGCATGCAGGACCCTGCCCTGGCAGCAGAAGCATCAGCACTCGTAGCAGCGTGCGGGGACATGATGATGGCTGGATACTCTGCCCTCTCCCAGCTTTATCAGACGGGCGGCGAGACTGAGGTGGAGGCTGCAATGGGTGAGAATTATGTGCATGGGATGCTATGGCATGGTTCGTGTGATAACCTCATCATCATACCCTGAAGTGTACAAGGTAAATTCGACAAATTTTAAAATTTCAAGGGCCCATATCAGGCATGGCGACAAGCAATATACGCTTGGATGTAGGAACAGTGCATTTGAGGCTGCTCGGCTGAATGATTATGGTGTACGTTTCCTGACAGATTCTCTTGTACGTTGTTGTCCACTAAACCACCTAGTCTTGGCAATGTGTTTGACAACTCGATTGGTTGTCACGTCGGTCAAGCTTCTATGAGTGTCAACTTGTTGTCCTCTTCTTGTGGGTAGTGCGACGTACAAATTCAATAGAACTGTCGCACACTACACTTTGACCTGTGAGATGAGTAGAAGGCGGAGTTCGACTTAATGACGGAAAAGCAGTTGTTGAAATCACAAGCAGTGATTTCAGTAAATGCTATTCCATGATTAAGTCAAGCTCCGTCTTCTGCTCAAAGGACCGGCCAAGGTTGAATTCCACCCTTGCACGGGCTCGGATGGGCTCCGGGGCCTTCTTTTCCCGGTGCAAAGGCCCGGATGATCTGGGGGAAAAACAGGGTGGGAGCTTCCTTTCTACGGGTTCATATCCATCCCAAGGGTCTTCTTGACCGGCTGGAATGAAACAATTCCTCCAATGGACCGTCCAAGGTTGAATTCCACCCTTGCACGGGCTCGGATGGGCTCCGGGGCCTTCTCTTCCCGGTGCAAAGGCCCGGATGATCTGGGGGAAGTGTAAACCAGGGTGGGAGCTTCCTTTCTACGGGTTCATATCCATCCCAAGGGTCGTTTTGACCGGCTGGAATGAAACAATTCCTCCAATGGACCGTCCAAGGTTGAAATCCACCCTTGCACGGGCTCGGATGGGCTCCAGGACCTCTTTTTCCCGGTGCTAAGACCTGGGTGACCGGGGGGAAGTGTAAGCCAGGGTGGGAGCTTCCTCTCTACGGGCTCATATCCATCCCAAGGGTCGTTTTGACCGGCTGGAATGGGCAAACGATCCAAAGGACCGGCCAAGGTTGAATTCCACCCTTGCACGGGCTCGGATGGGCTCCGGGGCCTCCTCTTCCCGGTGTAAAGGCCCGGATGACCGGGAGGAAGTGTAAACCAGGGCGTGAGCTACCTTTCTACGGGCTCATATCCGTCCCAAGGGTCCATTTGACCGGCTGGAACGAGACAAACGATCCCAAGGACCGGCCAAGGTTGAATTCCACCCTTGCACGGGCTCGGATGGGCTCCGGGGCCTCCTCTTCCCGGTGTAAAGGCCCGGATGACCGGGGGGAAGTGTAAACCAGGGCGCGAGCTACCTTTCTACGGGCTCATATCCGTCCCAAGGGTCCATTTGACCGGCTGGAATGAGACAAACGATCCAAAGGACCGGCCAAGGTTGAATTCCACCCTTGCACAGGCTCGGACGGGCTCCGGGACCTCTTTTTCCCGGTGCAAAGGCCTGGATGACCGGGGGGAAGTGTAGTCCAGGGTGGGAGCTACCTTTCTACGGGCTCATATCCATCCCAAGGGTCCATTTGACCGGCTGGAATGAGGCAAATGATCCAATGGACCGGCCAAGGTTCAATCCCACCCTCGCACGGGCTCGGATGGGCTCCGGGACCTCTTTTTCCCGGTGCAAAGGCCTGGATGACCGGTGGGAAGTGTAAAACAGGGTGGGAGCTACCTTCCTACGGGCTCATATCCATCCCAAGGGTCCTTTTGACCGGCTGGAATGAGACAAACGCTCCATTGTACCGGGGGATTTAGGGGCCAAGGCTCAATATCACCCTTGCACAGGCTCATATCCATCCCAAGATGCCCCCAAATGATGGTAACCCAACGTTATCCGAGTGATTGGCCCTGGAATAGGGTAGGGAATCGGGTATGTTGCCCCTCCCCAGCGCCATGGTGGTGGATTTCCGTTTGCCCCAAATGATGGTAACCCAACGTTATCCAAGTGATTGGCCCTGGAATAGGGTAGGGAGTTGTTATCTTCTCTCCATTGGGCCCTGGTGGGGCATTTCCAAACGCCCCAAATGATGGTAACCCAACGTTATCCGAGTGATTGGCCCTGGAATAGGGTAGGGAGTTGTTATCTTCTCTCCCTTGGGCCCTGGTGGGGCATTTCCGAACGCCCCAAATGAAGGTAACCCAACGTTATCCAAGTGATTGGCCCTGGAATAGGGTAGGGAGTTGTTATCTTCTCTCCCTTGGGCCCTGGTGGGGCATTTCCGAACGCCCCAAATGAAGGTAACCCAACGTTATCCGAGTGATTGGCCCTGGAATAGGGTAGGGAGTTGTTATCTTCTCTCCATTGGGCCCTGGTGGGGCATTTCCAAACGCCCCAAATGATGGTAACCCAACGTTATCCGAGTGATTGGCCCTGGAATGAGGAAGGGGTATCTTGTCTCTCCCTAGGACCCGGGCTCTGGTGGGTCCGGTTCCCTCCCGGGCTGGGTCCATCCGGTCCCCAACCGGGATGGTCCGGACCCCCACCCGGCCTGGGTCCATCCGGTCCCCACCCGGGTTTAGGGTCCGGACCCCCACCCCTATCCTGGGTGGATCCGGATCCCACCCGAAATGGTCCGGATCCCCACCCGGCCTGGGTGGATCCGGATCCCACCCGGGATGGTCCGGACCCCCACCCGGCCTCGGTGGATCCGGTTCCCACCCGGGATGGTCCGGACCCCCACCTGGCCTGGGTGGATCCGGTTCCCACCCAGGGTGGGATCCGGACCCCCACCTGGCCTGGGTGGATCCGGTTCCCACCCAGGTTTAGGGTCCGGACCCCCATCCGGATCCCACCCGGGATGGTCCGGACCTCCACCCGGCCTGAGTGGATTCCCCTCGGTGGGGAATTCATAAATGACTAGAATGATGGTAACCCAACATGATCCGAGTGATTGGCCTAGGAATAAATTAGTGTCAGCTCTTCTTTGTCCCTCTCTAGGACTTAGGCTCTGGTGGGTTCGGTTCCCACCCAGGATGGGTCCATCCGGTCCCCACCCGGGCTGGTCCGGACTCCCGCCCGGCCTGGGTCCATCCGGTTCCCACCCGCTCAGGATGGATTCGGTTCCCAACCGGGATGGTCCGGACCCCCTCCCGGCCTGGGTGGATCCGGTTCCCACCCGGGATGATCCGGACCCCCACCACCCGGCTTGGGTGGATCCGGTTCCCACCCGGGATGGTCCGGACCCCCACCCGACCCGGGTGGATCCGGTTCCACCAGGGTTGGGGTCCGGACCACCATCCGGGCTGGGTGGATTCCCCTCGGTGGGGGTTTTTCAATTCCCCCAAATGATGGTAACCCAACGTTATCTGAGTGATTGGCCTAGGAATAATCCATGAGTACTTCTTCCAACAGTCTTTGTCTCCCTAATGCCCCGATAAGATTAGTTTTGAGCCCCGTATCAAGGTAACCCAACGTGATCCCAGTGATTGGTCCACGAGCACGGTATGGTAGCGTTGTGGTGTCCCTCTTTCGGGCTTACTTTATGTATTGGCCGCAAATGTTGGTAAGCCAACGTAATCCATGTGATTGGACTAGGAGGAGGGCGTTGCTTTTATTTTTGTTATCACACCCGCCCTTCTATGTTTCAAAAGCCTATAATTGCAGGTAAGCCACGGTGATCGAGCTACTTTCTGTAGTAATAATACGTGGAAGAGGAGGTAAAGGACCCTCTCCACAAAGGTCCGACGGATTGCCCAGGCAATCCGTCGAGCCTTCGAGGCCTCTATGATTCACCACATGGGGACACGTGAGACGTGGACCGGGACGCCCGAATGTTTTGTGTGCGTCGACACTCTTCGGAGGGTTGGCGTGCACTTTGACCCCCAGAGGTAGGGGGCGGGACGTACTTGTGGTGCGGAGGGCCATCTGGGAGGCGGGGGCTCTGGCTAAAATTAAATGCAGAGCCCCAAATGTGTTGGGGAGGGGGGGCCGGGAGGGCCCGTGGAAGAAAGGGCAACGGGAAACCGTTGCAGGTTGGCAAGCGCTGCTACCCCGGACCCTCCGTGGAGGTCGACGGGAACCCTCGTTTACGGGGGCAACCGGAGTCCACCTAGGAGAGACCGGGGAAGATGGTGTGCCTCTCGGGCCGGAGGCAAACCAGGTCGATTGAGGGACAGCGAAGCCTCGTTTTTAACGGGGCCGAGCGGGGACCTCGGCCTGGAGGGAGGGACGGAACACAGCCGCCTCGTGCGGTTGGCGTTGCCGTCTCGCCGCGGGCGGGCCGCCGCGGCACATGGGAGAAACCGAGGGATGGCTGCCACCTTGGGGCCAATCCATCACACCCAGCTTTGGGTACCCGGGATCGAGGCCCGGAGCCTTCCGCCAGAGGCTCTGGGCCGAAAATGGGAAGAGATGACGGCAGGCGAACAAGGGACGGGCACGCGGGTGGCACCGCGGGCTCTTCTCGGGTTCGGCTTGCCACGAGCGTCGCGAACGCGGACGAGCCTCGGGTCTTGCAGGGAGATAAAGGGTGAATCCACTCCCCGCATCACTCGGGCGCTCTTCCGTGGACCGGCGTGCGGAGGTGTCGGCGAACCGTGGAATCTGTGTTGCGCATTACGTTAAGCGTCGGGCCTGACCCTCGACGCCCTGCGAGCCGGGTGATTCCGGCCGGGGCGGAGGAGGGGAAAAATAAGGGCTCGACGGTGCGCACGCCTCGCGTAGCGGGCCGCTCCCACATCCGGGTGATTTCCGGCGGGACGGCTCGTGCGAGAAAGGGGAAAAAGGGCAGACGTCGCAGGGGGCTTTCGAGCCTGCTGTGACCGAGGCCCGCGAGGGTGCCGTCAAGGCTCCCGCGCTCCTGATTACCTTGGGGAAGGGCTACCTGGTTGATCCTGCCAGTAGTCATATGCTTGTCTCAAAGATTAAGCCATGCATGTCTAAGTATAAGAGGGCATTTGTTCCCTCGAAACTGCGAATGGCTCAATAAATCAGTTATTGTTTATTTGATGGTGCCCAATTCT